AGTTGTGTTCAAAATAATAGCAGTCAGACATCACTAACCTGATCAATCACTGTTTTTGGTAGAAATGATATTTCTACATGGCAAATAATTTACTAGCAGGTGTAGTAGAGTAATAGAAATCCAACAGACCCAACAGTCATGACATGCATGCTGCTGATTCTGTGTAATTGAATCGCTAATTGAAAGGGGCATGTTCAAAATATTAGCAGTGTGGAGTTCTATTAGTGAGGTCATTCATTCTATGAAAAACAGGTGGCAATTATTGCCCTTATTTTAAGGAAGGAAGACAGCAAATGTTGTACATGCTGTTTACAGTGCATTTCTCTCTGCAATTCTGAGGAAAATGGGTCGTTACAGACATTGTTCAGAAGAACAGCATACCTTGATTAAAAAGTTGATTGGAGAGGGGAAAACATATAAAGAAGTGCAGAAAATGATAGGCTGCTCAGCTAAAATGATCACAAATGCTTTAAAATGGCAACCAAAACCTAAAAGACATGGAAGAAAGCGAAAAACTACCATTCCAATGGATAGAAGAATAGTCAAAATGGCAAGGACTCAGCCAACAATCAGCTCCAGGAAGATCAAAGAAGGTCTAAAGTTACCTGTGAGTACTGTTACAATTAGAAGACGCCTATGTGAAGCCAAGCTATCTGCAAGAAGCCCCCGCAAAGTCCCACTGTTGAAAAAAAGACGTGCTGAAGAGGTTACAATTTGCCAAAGAGCACATTGACTGGCCTAAAGAGAAATGGCGCAACATTTTGTGGACTGATGAAAGTAAGATTGTTCTTTTTGGGTCTAGTGGCCTGAGACAGTTTGTCAGATGACCCCCAAACACTGAATTCAAGCCACAGTACACTGTGAAGACAGTGAAGCATAGTTGCGCAAGCATCATGATATGGGGATGTTTCTCATACTACGGTGTTGGGCCTATTTATCGCATACCAGGGATCATGCATCAGTTTGAATACATCAGAATACTTGAAGAGGTCATGCTGCCTTATGCTGAAGAGGAAATGCCCTTGAAATGGGTGTTCCAACAAGACAACGACCCAAAACACACCAGTAAACATGCAACATCTGGGTTCCAGACCAACAAGATTGACGTTATGGAGTGGCCAGCCCTATCCCCGGATCTTAATCCAATAGAAAACGTGTGGGGTGACATCAGAAATGCAGTTTCTGAGGCAAAACCAAGAAATAGAGAACTGTGGAATGTAGTCCAATCATCCTGGGCTGGAATACCTGTTCACAGGTGCCAGAAGTTGGTTGACTCCATGCAACACAGATGTACAGCAGTTCTCAGAAACAGTGCTTATACAGCTAAATATTAATTAAGTGATTAAAAGGAAAGCAAAATCTTCAAACATTTTTCAGTTTATATAGTGAATGTTTGAGTTTGTAAAGAAGAATACAAACACTGCTATTTTTTGAACAGTCTAATATTCACTTTTCTTCAATTTTTTTAGAGGAACAACACACATTTGATCTATTTTTCTTCATGTTTTGATTTGGAATAGAATGTGTAGTGTTCCCAATGCATTTATGTTTATGGAAATAAAAGCTATTAGAAGGATTTTGAGCTTTATTCACTTTTTTCAACACACTGCTATTATTTTGAACACAACTGTATATACAGTATATATATATATATGGAATATAATGATAAAGTTCTTACCACTGAATATTGGGGATGAGGTATCAGCTGAAAAAACAGAGACCTTGAGATAAAGATGATATGTGTCACTTAGATGTGCCTGCCGGCCCAAGAGACATCACCCCTGACAGCATCAAGGCCGCGAAGCCAGAGAAAAGGTTCTATAAAATAATCACATAATAATAGCACTAAATAGAAATGACAAAAATGTGTCTTAAGAACCCATCAGGAGACATAATAATGTACGTTCTGTCTCCAAATATCCATAAATTACTTAACCACAATATATACATACCCAATAAGAGTCAAAGATAACTTGCAAATGACGCAATTAAATGGCGGATGCTATCTCCAAAGGAGGCAAGGACTAAGTCCCAAAGAGATAAAAATATAGATATCTGAAAAGGAAAAAGTATCTACATTTTCTGTATGTTCTCTAATCACAATATAATATTGAACATACATGCCTCCAAATAGTAGAGGGCCATGAAGCCTCTAAATCTCATGCTATGGGTGCACTGCATGGGTTTGTTGGGTGTACCAAAATTGCCCCCACGCCCGGAAGTGCGTCACCACATCACCGAAAGTTGTGTACCTAGTTTGGTACGCAACTTCCGGTGACGTGGTGACGCACTTCCAGGCGTGGGGGCCATTTTGGTACACCCAACAAACCCATGCAGTGCACCCATAGCATGATGTTTAGAGGCTTTATATCTATAAAAGAAATGTGAGTGGGCAATTTGTTTTGAGAATTATTGATTAATAAACGTTATTGCACAATGTAGGATCTTTTTTCTGTCCTATTAATATGATCCTGAGTGGGGAGTAAGCTGAATTGCGGTACCTGACCCTGGAGGGACCTGAGAGGAGTAAGTGGGATTGCTGAAGGGAGCTTATGTGACATCTTTCTCCTGTGACGAGATAACATCCATAAGGATCGTGGGGTGATCCTAAAAAGCGAGCTGGCCCTTGTGGTCACGGTTTGGAGGTGAGAGGCCCTTTCTGCTATTTGAGCATTTGTTCACAAGAGTGGAGATCACGTATATTCACCTCATCACCTGCATGAATTGTTTGAAGATCACAGTTATATGTTTATTGTGCATTAAACATTATTTATGATATTTATTTACATGTGTGATTTTTTATGAAGTTGATTTAATAGAGGGTTCCTTTGACATTTATTACGAGTGGCACTCATCACTATTATTGTTCTCCCCTGGGAGGGGATTCACTTGGTACACTTTTATTTTGGGTTTGATTAGTCCCACTATTGGGACGGGGGGGGTAGGTATATATATTATATATATCTATTTTGAGTCACTTTTAAGTGTGTATGTAAACAGGTCATTTCTGTTTTTTCACCAGTAATATTTGCACTTGAATATTCACAGATTGGATCCAGATTGGATCAGAGCACTGTGTGTGGATTATAGTATGTTTATGGTTTATTTTTTTTTTTTTTTCATTTATTTATTGTATAGCGCTTCACCATTTTCATTTATATTGATTTGCACTTCCAATTGGGTCAGGTTGGGTGAGAGCAGCTCAGATTTAGGCACATCCATATAAGCACAGGAGGTTTTATTAACATTGACTTTTGTTTAGTTCCACCAATGTATCTAGACATTTCAACTCTTTACATGGTGGTGATTGTTCCATAGTTGGCATCCAAGTGATAGAAAGGGTTAAGACTCCTGCTAGAGGGGATGACACCTTTCGTGTTTTGTGCAAACGGGAGGTTTTTTGGATTTTTCATTGGCAGACACTCATCCCTCAAGGGCTGAATGCCGAGTGGGATGTTACTTTATGTTCCATAAGACGCACCTGTCCATAAGACGCACCTAGGTTTTAGAGGAGGGAAAACAAGAAAAAAAATATTCTTAAGCAATGGACTTTAGACATAGTACAGGAGATGATCAGAGACTGCAGACATAGTACAGGAGATGACCAGAGACTGCGGACACACTACAGGAGATGACCAAAGACTGCGGACACAGTGCAGGGGATGACCAGAGACTGCGGACATAGTACAGAGATGACCAGAGACTGCGGACAGTACAGGGGATGACCAGAGACTGTGGACACAGTGCAGGAGATGACCAGAGACTACGGACACAGTACAGGAGTGACCAGAGACGACGGACACAGTACAGGAGATGTCCAGAGACTGCAGACACAGTACAGGAGATGTCCTGAGACTGCGGCCACAGTACAGGAGATGACCAGAGACTGCATACTTACTACAGGAGATGACCAGAGACTGCGGACATACTACAGGAGATGACCAGAGACTGTGGACATAGTACAGGAGATGACCAGAGACTGCGGACACACTACAAGAGATGAACAGAGACTGCGAACTTACTACAGGAGATGACCAGAGACTGCAGACATACTACAGGAGATGGCCAGAGACTGCGGACATAGTACAGGAGATGACCAGAGACTGTGGACATAGTACAGGAGATGACCAGAGACTGCAGACATAGTACAAGAGATGACCAGAGACTGCGGACACAGTACAGGAGATGACCAGAGACTGCGGACACAGTACAGGAGATGACCAGAGACTGCATACTTACTACAGGAGATGACCAGAGACTGCGGACATACTACAGGAGATGACCAGAGACTGTGGACATAGTACAGGAGATGACCAGAGACTGCGGACACACTACAAGAGATGAACAGAGACTGCGAACTTACTACAGGAGATGACCAGAGACTGCAGACATACTACAGGAGATGGCCAGAGACTGCGGACATAGTACAGGAGATGACCAGAGACTGTGGACATAGTACAGGAGATGACCAGAGACTGCAGACATAGTACAAGAGATGACCAGAGACTGCGGACACAGTACAGGAGATGACCAGAGACTGCGGACACAGTACAGGAGATGACCAGAGACTGCGTACTTACTACAGGAGATGACCAGAGACTGCAGACATACTACAGGAGATGACCAGAGACTGCGGACATAGTACAGGAGATGACCAGAGACTGCGTACTTACTACAGGAGATGACCAGAGACTGCAGTCATACTACAGGAGATGACCAGAGACTGTGGACATAGTACAGGAGATGACCAGAGACTGCGGACATAGGACAGGAGATGACCAGAGACTGCAGACACAGTACAGGAGATGACCAGAGACTGCGGACACAGTACAGGAGATGACCAGAGACTGCGGACACAGTACAGGAGATGAACAGAGACTGCGTACTTACTACAGGAGATGACCAGAGACTGCAGACACAGTACAGGAGATGTCCTGAGACTGCGGCCACAGTACAGGAGATGACCAGAGACTGCATACTTACTACAGGAGATGACCAGAGACTGCGGACATACTACAGGAGATGACCAGAGACTGTGGACATAGTACAGGAGATGACCAGAGACTGCGAACTTACTACAGGAGATGACCAGAGACTGCAGACATACTACAGGAGATGGCCAGAGACTGCGGACATAGTACAGGAGATGACCAGAGACTGTGGACATAGTACAGGAGATGACCAGAGACTGCAGATATAGTACAGGAGATGACCAGAGACTGCGGACACAGTACAGGAGATGACCAGAGACTGCGGACACAGTACAGGAGATGACCAGAGACTGCGGACATAGTACAGGAGATGACAACCAGAGACTGCTTACTTACTACAGGAGATGACCAGAGACTGCAGACATACTACAGGAGATGACCAGAGACTGCGGACATAGTACAGGAGATGACCAGAGATTGCGTACTTACTACAGGAGATGACCAGAGACTGCAGTCATACTACAGGAGATGACCAGAGACTGTGGACATAGTACAGGAGATGACCAGAGACTGCGGACATAGGACAGGAGATGACCAGAGACTGCAGACACAGTACAGGAGATGACCAGAGACTGCGGACACAGTACAGGAGATGACCAGAGACTGCGGACACAGTACAGGAGATGAACAGAGACTGTGTACTTACTACAGGAGATGACCAGAGACTGCAGACACAGTACAGGAGATCACCGGAGACTGCGGACACAGTACAGGAGATGACCAGACTGCGGACACAGTACGGGGGATAACCAGAGGCTGCGGACCTTTGGGGAGGGAGGGGGAGCGGGTACCAGAATTTGACAGATCCCAGAAGACTGCAGTACCATTCACAAACCGCAGTGTTTCTCGAGCATGTGCAGCCGGGTGCCCACATTAAAGATGCCGGTGCCAGGAGGAAAGACTGTACAGCGCTGGACCGAGGAACAGGTAAGGCTCTGCTGCAGAGAAGAGCTGAGCGGCCGGCCCGGTATTCTGACACGGCGGCAGCGGGAATACCGAGTTGGCCGCTCCATAAGACGTACAGACATTTTCCCCCATTTTTTGAGGGGATTTTTATTTTTATTTATTACATTTAATTTTCATTACTGTATTTAGGGTTGTTTTTCTTTTTATTCCCCCTTTTTCCTTCCTGTCTGCACTGTACACAATAAGGGTTTTATATATCCCAGCTTATTATACCAGTTACAAAGTTTATATATCTGTGATTTGTTCTAGGTACGATGCATATCAGAGGTGCGTTTTCATTTCTGCCAGTGTATCTGTCGTGTTTTTAAAGTTGTGTCATGTTATTTGTATACTATGTTATTCCTGATTCAAGTTTAATTGCCAATTGTCATCAGCTGTTATATTCTGTTTAAAGCTTCCTCTGAAATGAAAATCATGACTAAGCACATGTTCTTATGAAACACGTCTGCTGCTCCTCTGTCCTGTCTTGGAGCTGTCATGTTCTTATCATATTGCATGTAAAGGATTCCAATAAAGGATTTCTTCCACCACATTGCTGTTTGTGCGGCCAACCATTCTGTTTTTCCATTGCATGTGCGATCACGGATCGGGCCAGCACCTGCGTGTCTGTGGAGGGGTTATGCAGATTCGGCACTCACCTGGAGTGGATCTTTTGCTCTGCCGGCCCAAGTCTTTTCATGCTCCTCACCATCACTGTGCTCCTACCTATCCTGGTTTTGCAGGTTATGCTGGTGACCGTCATGGCTATTATATTAGTGTGTCCTTTGTTTGCCCACATGAGGGGGTTATCAGTAATGACTAAGCACGTGTTTGTGTGAAATGCATCTACTGCTCCTCTGTCCTGTCTTGGAGCTGTCATGTTCTTATCATATTGCATGTAAAGGATGCAACCATTCTGTTTTTCCATTGCGACTTGGGCCGGTAGCACACACAAGGGCACTGGAAAACTGGATCTTATGGTCAGACAGCAGGGTTCACCGAAAAAGTTTTCTTTTTTTCCCTAAAAAATACAAAAACATATTAACAAAACCAAAAAAAAAATATAATAATAATGTATCTCCATAGAATTACAAACAGTGGAAATTTATTGACAGATTTAAAATTGGCAGCTATTATAGTGTTTAGATATAAGTACCAAGTAAGGCAAAGAATATGTAGAATGAGGGACAGTCTAATCAGGGTACAGAAATGAAGTAAAGCTGATTGTATCCTTCAACCCTGGAGGTGAAATAGCCCTAAAAAGATATACTGTATCCATCTTGCCTCAATTTGCAAGATGATACAGTGACGAGGTGGCGGGTGGATACATGCCAAGGCTGAAAATCTGACAGAGTCTGGTTGATATTGATGGAATATAGTACAAAATGTTTAGGATTTGGTTTGTCAACCAAGCCAGCATTACTATCTCTAACGTGAACCTTTATACGTTGCCAAAATGTATGTTTTGTCTTGCCAACGTAATATGATCCACATCTACAGGTCATCAAATAAACAATGCCTATAGTATTACAATTGACGAAATGTTTAGGTTTAAATATTTGTGAATTTGGAAACCGTAGTTCTTTACTTTCATTAATGTTTTTGCAGTAATCACATCTGCCACATTTGAAGGTACCCTTGGGTAATGAAAAACATGGTAAAATGGCTAGATAATGGGCTATCCTGTAAGGATCTATTCCTACAAAATGTTAGGTGGGGTTTGTCATCGATGAATTTACTTATAGTTGGATCATCCTTCAATATGTACCAATATTTACCTAATATTGATCTAATTTTGTCTTATTGATTACTAAACTTAACCACTGGGTGAATTTTCGGTTGGGCATCTCCAGAATCTTCCCCCTGGAAGAGTAATAGATCATGTGGGCTATTTTTCGCCTGTTGGTATGCATCTTTAAGGGATTTCCTGCTGTAATCCAGTTCTAAAAAAACTTAATTGTAGTAAGTGTGTTTGTCTTTCAAAATCAGCTGGATCCATACAATTTCGACGTATCCGCATATATTGTCCTTTTGGAATCCCCTTAATGAGATGGCATGGATGAGCACATTTCAAGTGCAAGAGAGAATTACTGGCTGTAGATTTTCTAAATAGATTGGTCTGAATATTTCCACAAATGTCTTTTTTAATAATAAAATCAAGTATTAGCATAAGACAGGGTAAAGGTAAGATTGAAGTCATTCCTATTAAGCTGGTCAACAAATTCAACCAAGAGAGCTGCTATACCTGACCAAAAGATAAGTATATCATCAACATACCTGCGCCAGAGGGTAATGTGGCACAGATATATCGAGAGGTCATCTGATGCAAAGACAGATTGCTCCCCCCCAAGTACAGGTTGGCATACGATGGGGCACAAGTCGTTTCCATCACAACCCCCTGCACCTGGAGGTAGTGGGAGCCATTGAACAGAAAAAGGTTAAGAGTCAAAATAAATTCCAAAAGTACCAGAATGAAAAAATTATATTGATTGTGTGCAGTACTTCTTTCTCTTACGAATAGTAATATAACATTCAAACCCAATGTATGGGGGATACTGGAATAAAGGGCCTCTACATCTATGGAGGCCAAGATGGTTTGATCGCTGACATGTAAATTATCCAGTATAGTCAGAAGGTGAATAGTATCTTTAGGGTATGATGGTAAAGATTCAACATATGGGAGGAGATAATCATCCACTATTTTGCTGGCTTTATGTGTAAGAGAATTCATGCCTGATATTATTGGTCTGGACCTTTACATTTTTATGAGTTTTGCGCAAAGCATAACATGTAAAAGTTACTGGAAATTTTTCGGTGTCCAAAGGTTCAATTTTAGGAAACCAATCAGCATTGTTTAGAGTTTTGTAACACATGAACATATATTGTTCCTCCAACATAACAACTATATTTCCTCCCTTATCTGAGGGTTTTATAATAATCCTTTCACATTGTTGAAGTTATTGAAATGCACGTTTTTGGGCATTGGACAGGTTAGATGATTTCATATCTGGGCCAATTTTTTCAGTTATTTTATAGACCACTTTATTGGAGGCTGGAAATTTACATGAATTGTTTTGAGGTATATTTAAAGTCCCCCATCCCCAATACCCTATTTCTATTTATCTATCTATATGGGATGATACCTCAGGGGTTATCATCTAGATTCTAGACCACTACCCCTACCATATACTTGTATAAATATTTCTTATATCAGATACTTTGCTAAATAAGGCTCCGTAACTCCAAGAACTGGACAAAGATTAATGGGTATAATAAAAGGAAATTGTGATGACCAAACTTCATTCAAGATCCTTTCATGACTATGAAAATATGTTCATTAAGATTTGTAGTTTTACCTGATTGGTAATTGAGAAACAATTTTGCACACAGGAATTTGTTATGACTGGGACCTTATTGTATGCTACTGGAGTCAGTTTGTGGGCTTTTACAATTCTACAGGCCTAGTTGCAATCATCAAAGTTCATGCTTCTGCATGGTCTCTGCAAGGAGACCACTGCTTTCACACAGAGAATAAGGGTCCTTTTCTGCAGCATGCTGGCAAGGAACAGGCTTTTTTACTCAGGCTGTGGCTGTTTTCTTAAAAAAACAAACTGTACAACATAGCACACATTTTGCTTTGATGCACCTGCAATATATTTAGCTGATTTAATCTGAAAGTTCAGTTGGGCTTTAAAGTGTTATTAAACCCAAGACCCTACATTCACTATATCTGGTTTCCCACAGTACACAGAACATGAAAATGCAATTATTATACCTTTACTCATCAGCAGAATTTAGCAGTCTTGTGATTTCTATCAGTGTCCAGCAAAGCACTGGTTACAGCTTGTGGGAGAAGTTTTCATCCTTTTGTAGGAGGATGCAGGACCCCTGACCTCTGTCTGGAGAGTGTTGATTGGCCCTGTGCTGATCACATGCACTCTCCCAAGGAAAAAAAAAAACCTCTCTAGCAATACACACCAAACTGAGCACGTGCAGTTTGCCCCAAGCCTTTGTTCTACCAGGAGATATTTAGGAGACACTGGAAGAAGGGAAGGACTAGAGAAGAGAGGATCAAACATCCTTTTTACACAATGTGGAGGATTAACTCATTAGGTTCCACAGTGAGTATAACAAGCATGCTTTACTGCATATACAGACAGATTTTACTGTTGTGGGTTTAGTAACACTTTAAATATCATATTACTTAAATAACACATGGTGATATATAGAAGCAGCACGGTGGCTAAGTGGTTAGTATTTCCGCCCAGCAGCACTGGGGTCATTGGTTTGAATCCCAACCACGACACTACCTGCCTGGAGTTTGCATGTTCTCCCTGTGCTTGCATGGGTTTCCTCCCATGCAAGACATGCTGGTAGGTTAATGGGCTTCTGTCTAAATTGGCCCTAGTATCTGTATGTATGAATGTGAACTAGGGACCTTAGATTGTCAGCTCCTTGAGGGCAGGGACTGATGTGAATGCACAATATACACTATATTATCAAACGTATTGGGACATACCTCCAAATCATTGGATTCAGGTGTTCCAATCACCTTCATGGTCACAGGTGTATAAAATCAAGCACGTAGGCATGCAGACTGCTTCTACAAACATTTGTGAAAGAATGGGTCGCTCTCAGGAGCTCAGGAAATTCAAGC